AAGCAGAATTTTTAAAAAATTTCATTTGTGCTATCTCCTACTTTTTCATTGACTCCAACAAATCTTAAGCTGTTATTCTTAGCCCTGTCTAGCACCTATTGGATTTCTCCTGGTCCCTTGCTTTTAAGGAATTGTTCTTTTCATGATTAATAACCACAAGCCTGTCTTCTATATTTGAGATCCTGTCCTTACTTTGGCTTACTCTGCTGCAGATACCTTCAATGGAATTTTTATTCTCTTAGATATCCATTTGCATTTGCCTTATTTATTTCATTTTTTTCCTATGCTGTGCATTCATGGCTTCCATAATTTTCTTATGCACCTCTATTGTTTTGTCTGTATCTGCTCTAGAGTCACTAAGCATGGTTTTCATTATTGATACCATATTTGCAGTTATCTGAGAAATTATTTATAATATGATATTTTTCTACAGTCTCATTTAATTGCTTTGCCTCTCACTTCAGACAGGCCAGGTGGGTGGCTTTCAGATTGTTGTACATCATTGTCTCCTGGCATTTGCTTTTGGTGAACTTGATGTCTTGTTTAGGTGTCATCTGATTTTCTTTTCTTCTTTTAGTTGAATTCTGGGGGTGATTCTTGTAAATTGTTTATGTCATGTTGCTTCATTGCTAGTATAGAGAACCCTTAGGAAATGACTACTTCTCTGAGGTATTTTCCAGATGTAAATGCTTTTTAGATTTTTTTTGTATTTTAGTACAGGGTCTACAGGGTCTCACTACAGAGATTGGTCTCACAGTGATCTGTCTGTGTTCAACCTCCGAAGACCTGGCATTACAAGCATGCACCACCATGCCCAGTCTCAATTCCTGTCTCTCAGCACACCCTGGAGGTGGGGCCGGCACAATACACCAAAGATCAAACACTGACTGCTGCATCTGCCTATGCAGGCATTTTAGCTTTTTAGATTTTGCATGTGCTGTAAGATCCTTCCTGTTTAATTTGTTGGAGATAAGTTGCTGCCTGTGTGGTCCAGCCCCTGGTTCTTTGGCACTGTGCCTATGACCCTTAATTAATCTCAGCCTTGGAATACCAGGAAAAACAACTGTTTAGAATAATTATGTCACTTTTGGCTAAAGTGTTACCATCAGCAATAAGAGTAGCAATAATCACAGCCTAGAAAATGACAAAATGAGCTAGCTAACCACTAATCTGCCACTGTTAACCATATGAACTAGATTTGAAGTTATATAACAAAATCTAAAACAGACCCAAAAAATTATATGAAGCATATAAGACCTTATTATGTCAATTTTACTCTTTAAAATTTAAAAGGGAGTAGGAAAAAATACGCAGAAGAGATTAGAAATTTGTCTGGAGGACAAATGAAAATCACTAACATTGGGAAAATAGAAAGAAGACTGGAGAGAAAGAATAGACAAAAAGAATGGAATAACAAAACAACAATCACAAAGATGCTAGAAACCATATCCACACTCATATAAAAACAAGATCAAACAATGGAGAAGAAAAAAGCAAAATGAACACCATAACAAATAACACAAGAGACAAACTTAGGGATGGAAAGAAAGAAAGACAGACACAGAGAGAAAGACAGAGAAAAACAGAGACAGAAATACAGGGAACAAAAAAAAAAAAACAACCAACAACTTCCAGGTTTGTCTCTGTTGTCACCAGTAGACAATGTGTGGAGAGAGTCCCAGTCCATGCTGATCTGTCCCAGCAAGCCAGCAGTAGCTTTTTGGAAGGGTAGTGCATAATCTAATTGAGCTTGCACCTCCTGGCCAAGACCAGATTCATTCTGCCTGTAGCTGTCAGCACACCTCCCCAGGGTCTGAGCCCAGTAGGGAGCTGGGAGATGGAGCCCCCAGCTGCTGAATTTTGCTCAGCTGACCCCTCTCCAAGATGTCTCCTGGCCCGTCACTTTGTTCTGCAGGATGACCGAGCCCTCAGCACTCCCCCCAGCTAGTGCAACCCTTCATGTCCACTGCTCCTCTCCACTGCCGCTTCTGTCTGAATCCTCTGGAGTCACCAGCAGTCACAGACTCAAAGTACTTCTCTCATGCAGTGAGCCCCATCTCAGGGAAAAGTTGCCACTGGTTATCTCTTCCTTCTTTGTTGAAGTTTGTCTCTTCACTCTGTGAGCTTCAATTTTTGCTTCACATCCTTCCTGGCTCCAGAGGACCTACTTCCCTTCTTCTCATCTTCCTCAAGTTGCTATATTCCAGCGTCTGGATGATTCTCAGAAAGGCTCTTTTTCTGCGCTTACCACTCCCTCATCTTAGTGCCTCCTTCATTTCCTTAAAATCTTTGAATTATACAGTATTTTTTTTCTTCTTGAACTCATTTGCACTATACACTGTCACACTGTAAACAGTATTTTCTATCTTTTTAATCAATGATGTGCTCTTTTTTATTCAGCACATTTTTTTCCCTTCCTCATTTTTTTCCTCAATGAATTTCACAAGGTTCTGTTTTGCTTACCCTTTCAGTGAACTAAGTTTTGACTTTTCTTTCCTTTTTCCCCCCACTGTTCTGATCTTTACTATTATATCTTTTTTCAGCTTTTCTATTAGAACATGTGTGCAGTGTATGATGACTGGAGTCTCATGGGGGATTTCATACGTGTACATAACACATCTCAACCCTTTTTCATCCCTCCCTTCCCACCTCCCATTTCTTCATCCCCTTCCCTTTTGCAAAAGTTCTTTCTCTCTTTTTACTATAATCTGCTTGTTTGTTTGTTTTTAAAGCAATCAAATCCAGGACCTCATACTTGCCAGGTAGGCACTGTACCACTGAACTAAATCCCTGGCCCCTTTTCCTATTATCTTTTATCTTGCTCTTTATTTACATTTTGGTTCCTTTTGTAAGAGGAACTATATGATATTTAAGCTCGTGCATCTGATTTTTATCTCTCTTAACATTATAGTCTCAAAGTGCAATCTCTTTTACTTATTTTTTTAGATAGGGTTTTGCTATGTAGTTCAGACTGTCCTTGATCCACTATGTAGGCCAGGATGCCTGTAAATTTGTTAAGATCCTCCTGCTTCAGCCTCCCAAGCACTGGGATCACAGGTGTGTGCCACCCCATCACCATTTTCCTTATAATCAATTTCATTGGTTTCTTTATTATCTTGTTCCTTTTATACACTTTGGTCTTATTGCTATTTTTTTAATTAAGAGCCTATAATTAATCTACAGGTTCATGGTTCTTTTCCTTTCATGTTCTGTATAAGCATTTATGATTATAAATTTCTTTAAATCCATTACTGTTATGGTTTACATCTAGATGTCCCTCTTGAGCCTCAAGGAATCATAAGCTGACTTTCGGGAGGAGAGCGCACCATGGGACAGAAACTCATCAATGTCCACTGATGAGCTTATAGCTAACTGGGATGTGGGAGGTGAACCTGGTGGCGGAGGGGGTCCGTGGGGGCGTGGCGGGGAAGGGTCCCTCTCCCTCCTTTGCCTTGATCTCTCTGCTTCCTGCTGCCTGCCATGGGCTGTTTCTCCTGCCCCCTTGTAACATGCCACCCTGCCTTGAGCCAGCTGACTGTGGACTGAAATCTCTACAAATCATGAACCAACCTAAATCTTTCTGCCTTGAGTTGTAGGTGTCAGAGTCTTCATTTCAGTGACAAGAAAGAAAGAAACTAAGACAACTACTTCCTTGGCATGCCAGTTTTGATCAATAGATTTCAGTGTGATTTTTAATGATCGTTCACTTCTGAGTATTTTTAAATTTCCATGATGATTTTATCTTTGAATCAGGAGTTATTTAGAAATGGAAATTGTATCACTGAAGGTTTTTTAGTTAGCAACTGATTAACTTCAGTATGTATTAAAATATTGCTCTCTGTCACTAGATGAAAACAAAAATGAAATGCTGACTGCCACGATCTAAATAAGAGGTGGTGGACATTGTGGCTCACTGGGGGCAGTGGGAGGGCTATAACTGATAAATTTGATATATGCCTTGGAGACAGAAAAATTTGAAGTATTTGACTTACATTGTCTGAAGGCAACGATAGTAGGAGAAATCAAGGCGACTCAGCTGATTTCAGCCTCACAAGATCTGATGGTGAGAGCCAGTTCCCCGTGAGTTATAGGGAAAAAAAGAGACCTGTGACAAATCAGACATTTCTGTTCTGATCAAATATACTTAACAGGCCAATCAGACATTCCAGAAGAGATAGCAGGCGACATCTGGACATGTTTGGGCTTGACGGGCAAATGTGGGAGCCCTTAGTTATCACGTAGATAGCATTTACTGCCTCAGAGCAGATGAAGTCATCCACAAGAGACTGGAAAGGGAAGACCCAAGACCCTGAGGTGCTGACCCCAGAACTACTACAGCGTGGGGTCCCAGGACTGTGTCTAGGCAGCACAACAAGTTTATCTCTACCTGCATTGCAGCAAAAGAAGCACATTATGCTTAGACTGCTTGCTATTTGAAGCAGTGTGGGAACAGGGAGGATGATCTTAGACAATGAGGTTGTACAAAAGCCTTCCTCTAAACTCCCCTTTGTCTAACATTGTAAAAAAGGAGAAAATTTAAAAAGCAGAAAGTTAATAAAAAATAAAAAATGAAAATGAAAAGCAGAAAGTGATTCCTGTTCTTCAGTGTACTTTTTTTTTTTTTTTTTTCCAGAACCAGGGATTGAACTCAGGCCCTTGAGCTTGCCAGGGAAGCACTTATTCTACTGAGCCATCTCCCCGGCCTCTAGTGTACCTTTATATTAAACCATATGTGCATTGTAAAACCCCGGGAAAGCCAGGCATAGCGGCACACATCCGAGGCTGAGGCAGGAGGACTGCTGTGAATTCAAGGTCATTGAGGACCACACAGTAAGATCTTATCTCAAATCAATCAATCAATCAATCAATCAATCAATCAATCAATCCTGGGAAAATCTGATACAGAGCTACTTTGGCCAAGGTCCTAGTGTTGGTCACAGCACACTGGGCTTGTGCTGTTAGGAACACAGCCTGCTCACGCTAGTAGGGAGAGGGCTTACTCTCCAAAAACTCCATGAGACCACCTCCTGCATCGATGTTCACTGCATTGAAACCTTGGGTGGGTGCCACGCTGCTCAGGACTCTGTTTGATGCTAAAGTGTGGAGGACGCTGGTTTTCCCTGCTCCATCCAGGCCTAGAACCAGGATCTGCTTACTTTCCTCCTGTGAAATGAAACACAAACCAATAAGCCTGTGCTATCAGAACCTTGCTTTCCTGGCTACCAATACCGTGCTTTGTCTGTGGCAAAATCTATAAATGGTTCTAAAATTGCACACCGGAGTAAAACTTCTTCTTTTTTTTTTTTTTTTGTATTTTAGGGAAGGGTCTACAGGGTGTTCAGGGTCTCACTACTAGATCGGAGTCATAGTGATCCGCCTGTTTACAAGCCTCCCAAGAGATGGGATTACAGGCGCATGCCACCATGCCCAGTCTCAATCCCCGGCTCAGCGTGCCCTGGGGGCAGGACCAGCACGGCAGGCCCAGGAATTGAACCCCAGGTCCCTGTGCCTGCTTGCAGGCGCTTTAATCCTCTGAGCTATTTGGCCAGACCAAGGAGTAGTGGAGAGGGTAGGTTTTTTTGTTGTTTGGTTGGTTTTTTGTACGTAAAACTTCACAGAAATTGGTATAGGTCTAGATCAAATGGTACCTATCAGTGAAAAGTTTCTAATTAGCCTTTACTAGTTATGTAATGAGACCTTCCTCCATCCCCCAACTCCTGGTCAGTCTATCAAACACCCTACAAAAGGCTGGTGGGATGGCTCGGTGGTCTAAAGCACCTACTTAGAACAAGCTTAGCAAAGCACAGGGACTGCGGTTCAATCTCCCAGCACCACATGCCAGCCAGCCCTGCCCCCTGGTGGGCTGAGCTGGCCACACACACACACACACACACACACACACACACACATAAATAAATAAAATTTTTTTAAAAACACCCTACATGCATGCAAAGCACTAAGCACTTTGTAACATATGTACACACATACAAAGTTTTTTTTTATATAACTCATTGGGAGATGCTATTGATCACAAGACCAATCTGCAGGATTTATTTTGCTTCTTGAGCTCATGTCTTTTGAAGATTGCATGAGGTGAGTGCTCCGAGGGAACCAAGAAGGTAGCCATGGCTAGAGATTGAGATGTTTGTTTCCGTGGGGAGGCCAAGATAGCAACTTCTAACAAGTTCAAGTTGAACCAGCCACCCGAGGATGGCATCTCTTCTGTGAAGTTCAGCCTCAATACCTCCCAGTTCCTGCTGGTCTCCTCCTGGGACACATCAGTGCACCTTTACTATGTGCCAGCCAACTCCCTGCGGCTCAAGTACCAGCACACTGGCGTGGTTCTGGACTGCGCGTTCTATGATCCAACACACACATGGAGTGGGGGATTAGATCATCAGTTGAAAACGCATGATTTGAACACTGATCAAGACAACCTTGTTGGAACCCATGATGCCTCTATTAGATGTGTTGAACACTGTCCAGAAGTGAATGTGATGGTCACTGGAAGTGGGAATCAGACAGTTAAATTATGGGATCCCAGAACTCCTTGTAATGCCAGGACCTTCTCTCAGCCTGAAAAGGTCTACACATTCTCAGTGTCTAGAGACTGGATGATTGTGGGCACAGCAGGCCGCAGAGTGTTAGTGTGGGACTTACGGAACATGGGCTATGTGCAGCAGCGCAGGGAATCCAGCCTGAAATACCAAACTCACTGCAACCGAGCATTTCCAAACAAGCAGGGTTATGTATCAAGCTCTACTGAAGGCCGAGTGGCAGATGAATACTTGGACCCAAGCCCTGAGGTGCAGAAGAAGTATGTCTTCAAGTGTCATGGGCTAAAAGAAAATCATTTTTGAGCAGATTTATTCAGTCAATGCCATTTCCTTTCATAATGTCCACAGTGCATTTGCCACAGGTGGTTCTGATGGATTTATGAATACTTGGGATCCATTTAACAAAAGGCAACTGTGCCATTTTCCTCGGTACCCCACCAGCATCACATCACTTGCCTTTAGCAATGATGAGACTATGCTTGTAATGGCATCATCATATATGTATGAAATGGGCAACACAGAACATCCTGAAGATGGTATCTTCATTCGCCGAGTGACAGATGCAGAAACAAAACCCCAGTCCGCCTAATCATCTCGTGAAAGTGGTTTCTCTATGGAAAGCGTTGTTTGCTTCCTACAAGGGCATGCTTATCCCCTGAGGGATGTATTGTAGTTTCTATGGGCCTGTTGTTTAGTATGTGAATTTTTCTGTTTTCTGTCTTACAAGAAATTTGTCTTTGTATTTTTTAATATCTCGCTTAGGATGGGAAGTCTGTGTCCTTGTGCAGTAGTCTGAAGAATTTCCCCACCTCCTCCCCAGCAAACCCAGTTGCTGTTTATGTGCAGCTGGGCTCTTTTTGTAGCATAATCTAAACCTTTTTCCCCTGCTGCCTAATAAAGCAGAAATTCAGAACCCTTTAATGTTGGATGCTGTTAAATATTGGCAATTAGAGTAACTTATTTGTAAAATGGTTTCTGTAAAACATTTCATCATGCATGTGTTGAGGATGACGTTCTACTTTTAAATCTATTCTGTCTCATTTAATTATGTCTCTGATGTATGTTGGGGATTCGGTGCTGGATACAGTGATCTGTTGGCGTTCAGCCACTTCCCTTTTGCCCCTGTCGTGGATCAGCAGGGCTCTGGAGCCAAGCTGTGCAGCTCCTCTCAGGACGGGTGCAGAGTGGCAGGCTTGGGGTACCCTTTGGCAGCATGCTTTCCTAGTGGTGCCGGTGTCAGGGAGCACACATAGTGCATGCATCTTCATGCTGAGGAAGTCATTGTCCACATGCAGAGAGCCAAATGACAGGCTGTTCTGGACTTCTCCGTCAAGTGCTAAATCAGAATGAAGCCCTTGGGATGGTGAATAATGTCATAGCCAGGGACTAACCAATGGTAGTGGTTCTTCAGTGTGATTGTATGCTTTTAAATGTCACAACCACCTTAAGGACAGAGTTTAAACTTAAAAGCATTGTGTAAATGAAATAATATGATTTTGTTAAAAGTGACCAAATTAAAGCTTTGTTGTGGACCTTTAAAAAAAAAAAAACAGATTGCACAATAATTCTCTTGTTGTTGGAAGTGCAAATACTGACTGTGCCACTCAGCATATAAGGGTTTATTGCCCATCATCATTATTAATCTGTCTTTTCTTCACAACTGGATAACTTGGTCATAAAATCTTAGGGCAGAGTTCTTCTATTTTTTTAAATATAAGTATCATGATTAAATAAAAAAGGTAAACCAGACATGGTGGTGCATATCTATAATCCCAGCACTCAGGAGGCTGAGGAGGAGGATCAGTGCTAGTTCAAGGCCATCCTGGGCTACAAAGTGAGCTCAAGGGCAGCCTGAAATGCATAATGAGACCTCGTCTCAAAAAGACAAAACAAAGATTATAGGAATTTTTTCTGGTACCAGGAATAGAGCTCATGACCTGGCGCTTGTCAGGTAGGCACTGTGCCACCCAACTATATCCCCAGCCCTGGCTTTTTTCTTTGAGACAGAGTCTATGTAGTTCAAGCTGTCCTTGAACTCACTACGTAGTCCACCTACTTTCAGCCACCCTCCTGGCTCAGCCTCCCAAGTGCTGGGCTTAACAAGCATGACAAAATTTATTTAAAAGTCCAATGTGAAGTCCAGTGAACTGGAATTATACTTAAAAAAGATGAATTATTCCAATATACCAGCCTGTCATTGCAAATGACTGAGCTAGAAGGGCAGGCCGGTGTGCAGACAGAGGCGGTGTGAGGCGTGGTGCCTACAGTGCAAGCTTTATTAACAAGTGAGCAGCAGGACAGCCTGACTGCTCAGGTGAATTCAAACAGCTGAATGAAGAAGTTTCTCATAGCTGGGCTCAGGGGCATGTGCTTGGAATCCTAGCTAGTAGGGAGGTTGAGGCAGGTGCATCACAAGTTCAAGGCTGGTCTGAGCAATTCAGCAACACACTGTCTCAAAATGAAAACAGGGGCCGGGGAGATGGCTCAGGGGTATAAGCTCTTCCCTAGCAAGCGCAAGGGCCTGAGTTCAATCCCTGGTTCTGCAAAAAAAAAAAAAAAAAAAAAAACGAAAACAAAAAAATAGAAAGGGCTTGGGTAGAATGTCCTTGGATTTGATTTCCAGAGCCCCTCAAGTTTATTGTTCATAAAAAAACTAACTGTCAGGACCAGGGAGATAGCTCAGTGGCTTAAGCGCTTGCCTGGCAAGAGTCTGATCTCTGGTGATTGGGGGGTGGGGCGGAATGATGACTACAATGAGGACAACAACAACAAAAAACCCTTGTCTTTAGTAGCACTGGTGTGAAGTCAGATGTGGTGAATACTTGTCATCCCAGCATTTGGGAGGCACTGGCAGGAGGATCACAAGGTCAAGCTCCACAGGATCAATTCAGGCACTTGAGACCCTCAGGGGAAAGCAAAACAATATAGCTTAGGAGTGTGGCTCAGGGTGAAGGCCTGAGCTCAGTCCCTAGTAACATGCACGCACACACATTAAAAAATACGCTTAGGGTTGGAGAAAGCTCTGAGGCTCTGAGGTCTAAGCTCTTGCCAGGCAGGCACTCATGCCACTGAGCTATGTCCCCAGCCCTCATTAGATGTCTTTGAACCACACACTTTGAAGCAATAGTGTCACCATGAGATGTGACACAGTATGGGTTATAATCCCCCCACCAATCTCCAGTGTGGACCCCACTCATGCTACCCCAACATACACCCCCTTCTGCACTGTAACATCTCTGAATTTGGGACACTTTATGAGCATGTTTTATTAGCAGGGTTTTTTTAATGACAACTAAAATAACAGTACTTCTAGATCCTACTAAAGCAGAACTCAGAGCTCTGTAAAATCCTTCCAATTCAGGAGAGCAGCTCCACAGAGAATCCTCCCTCTGGAATTTGGACTTGTTGTTTTGTCACTGATGACTTCAGGTAGCTTGAGCCTGGTACTCTCCTCCTTTAGAGGGGCAGCACTGGACACCAACATGGATAACACTGATAAATGGGGTTCTAAATAAGCTTCAAAGCATCCTAACATCTTGATTTGCACAAGATGTTTTCTGACAAGGTTGTGATAGGTTAGCTGTTGAGAGGATTAACTGCCTTGGTTTCACCTCAGCATTTTTACATTCCATCATGAATTGTAATTGTATATAAGGGATCCCTCCTTGGTTCCCGGCCCAGTCTAAGTGGTTGAGACGATGTACAATTTTTTTTTAATTTTATTTATTTATGTGTGTGTGTGTGTGTGTGTGTGTGTGTGTGGCCAGCTCAGCCCACCAGGGGACGGGGCTGGCTGGCATGTGGTACTGGGGGATTGAACCGCGGTCCCTGTGCTTTGCTAAGCTTGTTCTAAGTAGGTGTTTTAGACCACTGAGCCATCTCACCAGCCCAATGTACAATTAAAGTCCTCCTGAAAATCCTTTCCCCACCCCCACCCCCAGTCTCTCCAGTTGCTTAAAAATTCTGCAACACTACCAACTACTGAGTTAATAACAATTCCCTGACCTTTTTCTAACCATACTGTTGCCCCTCGGCCCATCCTAACTAGAAATCCTGCACTGGTGTCTTATATTTTGCTTCTATTCTCAGTCTAAAAATAACACACTGGGGTGGGGATGTATAGAACATGTGCAGAGCCCTGGGCTCGTCTCCAGTACCAAAAATAAAGAGGTAAAGAAAAAACAAGGAGAGGAGAAAACAGGACTGCTGAGTTGTATCATCTAGAGAAAGTTGAGCTCATTGTGTATCAAGAGTTCAGATGCAGGGCCAGGGAGATGGCTCAGTAGAAAAAGCGCTTCCCTGTTAAGTGCAAGGGCCTGAGTTCAATCCCTGGTTCCAAAAAAAAAAAAAAAGAGTTCAGATGCACTGTGGCACACGACTGTCATCACAGTACTCAAGAGGCTGAAGGATCAAAAGTTCTAGCACAGCCTGCACAAATTAGTGAGCCCCTGTCTCAAAATAAAAAGGACTGGAGACGGAGCTCAGGGTCATAGCACTTGTGGGAGAACCAGGGTTCAATCTCTAGCACCTCACACAAATGTGATTCTGAACACCTTTTTAGCCATAGAAGGATCCATGTAATCTGTATATTGTCAAGGATCAAATCGCTGTTATCTGAATATGGGCAGCTTGTCATGACATGCCATTTACTGCTATAATGTCTCTTGGGTAGGTGGTTGTTCAAGAAGAAGGGGGTGGTGAATGAAAGCAAGAGACGGGAAAAGGAATATTGTGGGACTGTCCTGCTTCAAGGTTGTATATGATGAGATTTTTGGACTTATGTGCAAACATGAGAAGTATATAATTCTTTATCCTATTTTTAAAATATAATGTAATTTTTAAAATGTCTTTATCATATTATTCAGGGACTTAAAGTTCAACATATCACTACTTGATGAAAAATACCTGCTCCTTATGATGCCTAAGATGTGTGAAATGCAGTGAGATAGTGAGGCTAAGATTGATAGCCCAAATCGTTTGATAATAACAATAAGCTTGTCTTCTGGATGGTTAACAACCTAAGTTTGCAGACCAAAATTAGAGAAAAAGGAGGGCTACAAGGAATGCCAACATTTTGGCCCTAACCTTCTAAGGTCAATTAAGACTCAGGACATATGAGAACTTGTACTGTAATGTCATGTACCTCGGTAGTGTCCCAAATTTTCTGATCAAGAAGATTATGAGGCCAAAGAGGAAAGTGATCGATGACGTAGAGTGTGCCTAAGGAGAGTCACGTGGGGAGAAGACACTCTCTCAGGCTTTCACAGAGAGCACATTGGCCAAGCAATGGCCGTGACTCATCCACATGGCTGCACTGACAAAGGTTCTACAATCTGAGGTACGGGATCTCAAGATAAACCCTGAGGACATTTCGCTGATTTTCTCAGACCAAGAAGCTACAACTCTTGTTGCATAGGTCCTGCTTTACCTTGGTCTTAACCATCCAGTAGAAAAGTATGAAGACGAAATATAGGAAATAAAGCCATGCTGTTATGTTGAGCTGTGGGGGACTCAGGTCAATAATTTCTGACATTGCCAGTTAAACAGAAGACCCAATGCTATTATGGGCTACTGGACTCTTTTAGAATATTTTGCTGAGTTTACACAGCTATAATATTCAATAACGGAACTTCGGAAAAATGGGGTATACCGTTGAATGTCCTTTTTGTATTTGTGTATTCCAAGTGGTTAGGATAGATATATAGTTGCATTCTCTTAGTGAATAGAATGATTTGTTCTAATGGTGTTTGTAAATAGGATCACAAGTCCACTTCTTGTACATCAATTAACCACTAAGAAGAATATATGCAGTGTATTATTTGTTGAAACTGTACTTCTGATTGGATTTGAAACTGTCTCATTGCTATCTGCTTATCAATAAAACTTTGAAAAAAAAATCGCTGTTAATAATTCAAATTGTGTAGAACCAGAGAGCCACTGAGGGCCAACGAGTCAGCCCAGAATTCCAGGAGCGCCCAGCTCATCAAGCTGAGCCTAGCAGCGTCTTCTCAGCAGTACAAGCAGTAACCCATAGAAAAGGCCCAGAAAGCCCCCACGTGCACCCCGCACAAATCCACAAAGAGCGTGCTTGCGCTGGGTCAGCTGCTCCGAGGGCGACCACCCAGCAAGAGCTGCGGTCCCCCGACGCTGGAGGAGGGCAGGGCCAGGGGCGAGGAAGGGTCAGAGCGCACCCTGCCCCATGGGGGCCCTCGGACGTAACAGAGCCGCTGCCGCCTGGGCGGGACAGTGGCCGTGGGCGTGAGGGGCGCGGTGTCCTTACCGAAGGCAGGGGCGGGCGGCTTGTCCAGGTGCCGGCGTGCTGCTCCTCGCGTTTTTCTTCCACCTGTTCCTTCTCTTTCTCCGTCTCCTTGTTTTGCTCCTTCCTCTTTTCCTCCTCGTTATCTGTCCTCTTCCCTTCCGTCCCGTTCACTTGCATCTTCCCTTTTTCTTTTCCCTGAATTTTCTCTCCCACCCCTTTCCTTTTCTCTTCCTTCCCCGTTCCCCTAATGCTGTCCCTCTCGGCCACCTTTGTCCTCTCCGTCTTCCCTTTGCGCCTCTCCATCCCGGCCACGGTGTCCTCCCTCCCGCGCGCCCGCGCGCCGGCGCCGTCCCCGCAGGTGTGGCCGGGCGCAGGGACGTAGGTCCGCGGCGTCGCCCTCGCTCACCTCACCGCCGCCCGCGCTCCGGACGCGCGGCCGCTCCCACCGCAGCTGCTCCGGTGGGCGGCCAGACCTGGGCCAGACCCGGGCGCGGAGAGAGCTCCCGTTGGGGCGGGGTCGCGGGGCGGTGGTCGCTACAGAGAAAGCACCTCGGGGTGCCTTTCGCTCCCAGGGGCACCGGAGAGAGCGACCTTGACATCTGACCTTCCCGGCTCCGCTGGGCTGCCAGACCCACAGCTTCTCCGACCTGAAGAGCCGAGCACGGGCCAGGCCCGAGGAGCCTGCAGGCTTCCTCACCAGGCCTCAGCTCCCAGCCGTAAGCTGGAACGACAGGGGCAGACCACTGGGAACCTCCGCTACCGGAGAGCTCGAGGCCGCTCCCCACGTCTGTCGGTGAACGTAAAATGAAAATGAACTGCTGTCGCACTTGGCGGCCTGACAGCTCAGCGGAATAAAGCGCCTGCTTAGGCGGAGCGCAGCGCTGTGCTGCACCCGCCCAGCTGCGGGACGCGCTGAGACAGCGACCGAGACTGGGCGAAAGGGCACGCGCCAGTAACCTCAGCTCTTGAAAGGATGAAAAGAGAATCATAAGCCCGATCTGTGTAGCGAGACCCTGTCCTAAATACAGAAAATAAATAAAAGATAAAAATTTAAAAAATACACAACTTAGGAGGTTGTGTACTCTACCATTCTCCTTGCTAATTCCCAGTATCAAACCAAAACTAAGCCCAATATGTAGTTGCTCCGAAGGATGACTTATGTAGTGAATTTGCATCTAACAGGCTTTTTCAAGATAGTGGAATGCTTTTATATTGCTAAGTGTGTAGTTGGTTCTCTTAATCATGAACTGACTCTAGTGTCTGCCACAATTTAACAATTAGCACTTAGGGCCTATGGTGTAGTCTGGTGGTAGTGCTCCCTAATGTAAACAAGAACTATGCCTGGCACCACTGAAATAGAAAAAATTAGCTTTGCCATGCAATAAACTGATTTTCCATGATCAGACGTTTTGGAGGCTTTGTAAGGAATAAGGTTCCAGAAGGCTTGAGTGATGCAATGTACTTTTAAGGTTAGCAGTTCCCAGTTGTCTTGAAAATGTCATGCTTGTTGCCCTTAAAAGTCTACTTCTGTGGTGGTAGATGCCTGCAATCCCAGCACTCGGGAGGCTAAAATAGGACTGCTGAGTTCAAGGACAGCCTGAACTACATAGCAAAATCCTGTCTCAAAAAGACCACATGTACAAAGTTTATTTCTGTTTGTATACACACAGTAAGGTGATTAATTTTCAGTGGAGTTTAAACTGGGTTCACACGATACCACTAGATTTATTCTGCTGTGAGGAGACAATCTTATACAGATTGTCAAATAAGACAATCCTATACAGAGGTTAAAAGACAATTCTGGGGCCAGGGAGGTGGCTCAGTGGAATAAGTGCTTTCCTGGCAAGCGCAAGGGCCCAAGTTCAATCCCCGGTTCCACAAAAAAATTTTAAAAAAATAAATAAATAAAAATAAGGCAAAAAAAGGCAATTCTTAGATACTCTAATGAGGAAGTCCTCCATGGAACCTCAACACCCAACACTTTCATTCTTGCTCACTGATGGAATATTTTGTTTAAAAATGTGCCACAGTGGATGGATACAACCATACTGGATTTTATAAATGTGTACACACACACACACACACACACACAAATACAAAGTATGTATGTCACTGTCAGCCTGTCCAAAGAATTACTAGAAAGTTAATGTAGATGTTAACACTTAATTTGACAATAGCCTGTCTGAAACGAGATTCTGGTTGCTTTGCAAAGAAAAATAACACCAATGGTTATCAATAACAATTAAAGAATTATAAATCTGTTTTGCCTTGGGCCAAAATTTTCAAAGATGTGTAATTTTCACCAAGATTCTGTTAACCTAAAAAAGTATTATCTTCAACTACAACTATTTAAGGGACTACTAAGAGTTACTAATGATTATTTCTCAAACAGAGTAAACAGAAAGAATATATATGTCATTGTTACCAAGCCACTGTTCTCTCTAGAGCTCAAAAAAAAGCATTATGTCATAATAAAATCATTTTAAGATCTTGTTTAGATGCCACTGCAGATTTGAACTATGTAAAACCAAAAGACAGTAACCCATCTTTTATAGAGGAAGCCTTTTAAACAAACTCTGAAGATGTTTTAGTAGTTATGTTCAAACACAGCAGCACTTTATTACCAAAAACAGAGAAATATGATCACAAGGAAATACTCAAAGTCTAAAATGAACGGTATCTTGGACAGCAGTAAATGAATACCCATGAGGATATGCATCCTAACATGTCTCACAGCTGCTGAATCAACGTGGCTTGTAGGCAAGGAAAAGACAAGGAATATTTACATCACAGATTGGAAAATACTTCATTACTTTGGGAAAGGTAATGAATGGTCATAATCCATTAACTAGAAAGAAGAATATTTGAGTATCCTAATGGGGCAAATCAGTTGTTAGATTTTAATACTGTGTGGTATTGATTTTCTATGTAATGAAGTCAATTTATGTTCTTGATAGGCACAATAATCTTTTTGATTGAGACAGTCCAAACCAATCTGACCTCCGGACACTAGGTCTAACAACATTGACAGATTTTTTTTTGAGGTCTTCACTGGTGCTTATCAGCATGTTAACATAATATGAAACTGAAAATGAAGGGCACAAAGCTGCCCATTCTGGTATGACATGAAGAGAATCTGTGATTAACATTATTTAAGATATTTAATGTTTGTGGGCCACTCATTTAGCTGAGTGAAGAATACCAGTGTTTTAATAAGGTCCCTTTTTTTAATCACATATTTCTAAGCAAATATATGGAATGCTCAAAAGATTCCACTTTTAGTCTCCCAGAGCCTTCTGAGACATTGAAGTGGGACTTAATAAGAACAAACACCTTCAATCTTCAGACTCTACATGCAAAAGCAGAATGAGTTTCTGTTTAAATTTTTTTTTTTTTTTTCAGAACTGGGGATTGAACTCAGGCCCTTCAGCCTGCCAGGGAAGCCTTATTCTACTGAGCTGTCTCCTGGCCCCTCTGTTTAAATTCTGGGAAATGTGCCTTAACTGTGAAATGGAAAAAAAGATCAACACAATGTTAAAGGATGCAATGGGTAACAAGGTAGGTCAATACGCAATCATCGTCAGTCCTTATACCATGTGCAAAACTGTGGGACAAATAGGACAAATCCAACTAGATAGTTTGAGGAAGAAGTTTTCCTAGTTGATGCACAAGAAATTATTTCATGGAAATATAGAGATGGAAGAGGGGGCAGTTCTGTGCTTCTCGCTGTGTCACTTTTATTATGGTCCTAGTGTCACTGAGACTCACTTAAAAATAGGCTGGACCAAGAACATTCGAATCACCAGCCACCCTTTCCTCCTTTCTTCTTTTTCTGTTGCTGTTTCTTTTTTGTTGCTGGAGCCCCTGCAGGCTTCTGGTGTCGTGGGGGTATGATGTTACTTGTAGAGGCGGAGACAGCTGCTGCACTACCGGGTCTTGGGGAGGTAGGAGGGCTGCTCACAGTTTTACTGGCATCCCTGAAATCAACATACCAGAAAAGTTACAGTCATTCAGAAATTCAACAAAGGAAAAGGGTATCAAGATGTACAAAAAAAAAAAAAGATGTACATGGATTTTACTTTCCATACCTAATAATCTCTCATACATTTTCCCTTTAAGGAGGGCTGCTCAGCTCCCCGTCCATTTTTATTTTGAATTTTTAATGGGTTAATAACTAAAGAATAAGTAATACATGATATAGGTCAACTTTTAGAAGGCTTAGCAAATGAAGTTTAAATCATCTCTAATTCTGCTATGTAGAAATAACATTTTTAATGCTTCTAGTAATTTAATGTTATGTTTACCTACAGTTAGTTGAATATATGTGCTGCTTCCTTTTCCAAATATATGTGTACTATTTACAATAGATCAATAAATTCTAACCAGATGCCTTGAGTCAATCTCAGAAACAACCTGGGTCTCAAACGACCTCTTTGGGGAGCCATGACTTACAGTTCAGAGGACGCTCCTGCAGTTGCTCCCTGAGTCCCCTTTCCAATCTGATCCTTCTTTTTACCCTTCTTTCTTCCTCGATAGTAAGAACGTTCTCGCATTGGCAGCCATCTTTCTGGATCTGGGGTAACTTTAGGGTCATAATTCTTAGGCAGCTTTCCTATGTAACAATTGTTAAAGAAATGAGAGCTGTTAATAGTTTCAAGACAGTTTGTTTCAACAATGTGTCGATGCCTGGGAGTATTGAAACTGAAACTTGAGAAAATTTTATTTTCTTAATTTAGCAAGGGCCTACCCCTCCCTGTAAAGAACCTTGGGTCTTCACACAGAGCCACATTTTTCAGCCCTTTTTTATGATTTTGAGACAGAGCCTTGCTGAAGCTGTTAAGTTTCCCATGCTGAGCTTCAGGAATGTCATTACACCCAGCTGAAAAGACCTAACCATGACACAAATTCAGAGGCTATATTGGAAAAGATTTATCCTATATAAAAAAATCATTGTGGGGGCCGGGGAAATGGCTCAGTAGGATAAGCGCTTGACTGGTAAACGCAAGGACCTGAGTTCAATCCCCGGTTCTGAAAAAAAAAAAAAAATCATTGTGGTGACACACACTTGTAATCCCAGCAGTTGGGAGGCTGAGGCAAGAGGACTGCTGTGAATTTGAGGCCAGCCTGGGTTGCATAAGCGAGTTTAAGGCCAGTTCAAAGCTACATATAGCATAAGCTCATCGTGAGTTCAATTCCCAGTACCAAAAAACCACTCAAAAAAGGCTACATAGCAAGCAAGACCCTGTCTCAAAAAACCAAACCAAAATAAAACACCCCAAACATAATATTTTAATTTTTCTTTGATAAGACATAACATGTATTTAAGAAAATAGCAAAAAAGGTGTAC